CCCAAATGGCGATATCAGAATCCTGATGGGTGATATGAATGCGAAGCTGGGAGGAGACAATACAGGAAGACAACTCACCATGGATCACGAGGCCCTCGGTGAAATGAACGACAACGGTGAACTCTTCTCAGACTTCTGCGCCTTCAATGATTTGGTGATTGGTGGCAGTGTGGTCAAACACACGGATATACACAAGGCGATATGGATTTCACCAGATGGACACACCGAAAACCAGATAAACTTCATTTCAATCTCAAGAAAGTGGAGACGGAGCCTATTGGACACAAGATTGAGGAGAGGAGCAGATGTGGCTTCAGACCACTATCTAGTACAAGGAACTTTCAAGGTGAAGCTGAAAGCCTCGAGGATAGCTGGGGATAGGCCACAATGCAATCTCAACACTCAAAAACTGAAAGACACAACCACAAAGGACACTTTCACTGCAACTGTCAGAGCAAAGCAGGAAACACTACGTGACATCACTGAGCAATCATGCGTGGAAGACCATTGGAACTCTCTGAAGGTGATTTTCAACGAAACCTGTTCAACGGTTTTAGGAAGAAAGAAGAGACAAGACAAGGAATGCCTCTCAACGGACACTTGGAAGCTAATAGATGAGAAATAAATGTTTCTAATAGAGGAGAGGAGAATGGTGAAAGAGAAAATGATTCAATGCAAAGACGGGCAAGAGAAGGAGACGCTGAGTTCAACTTACACAGCATTGGACAAAGAAGTGAAGAAGGGTGCTAGGAAGGACAAAGACCAATCTACGACAATCTGGCCACTGAAGCTGAGAAGGCAGCAGGCAAAAGGGACCTGAGGACATTATATCAGATAACCAAGTCTCTATCCGGGAAGAGATCAACACAATCGAAACCTATAAAAGACAGCCAAGGGAACCCAATTACCAAGGAAGAAAGACAGATTAAACAATGGGCGGATCACTTCAAAGAACTCCTGAACCGACCACCACCTGTAACTCGTCCAGAAATACCAACAACAGCACGTACACAACTGCAAGTTGACACCAATCCTCCAACGAAAGCTGAAGTCTTCAATGCAATCAAGCTTCTGAAAGCTGGAAAAGCAGCTGGACCAGATGGAATACCCCCTGAAGCACTGAAAGCGGACCCGGAGACGACAGCAGATATGCTGACTCCATTATTGCAAAAGGTCTGGAAGGAGGGAAAGCTGCCTACTGACTGGAGGAAAGGTTACCTCGTGAAACTACCAAAGAAGGGCGACTTAGGCCTCACTCTGCAAGAACTGGCGAGGAATCATGCTCCTGTCGACGCCAAGTAAAATCCTGAGTCGCATCATCCTGGAGAGAATAAACGACGCACTGGATACAGAACTCCGCCAACCAGAACAAGCTGGATTCAGGAAAGGCAAATCATGTTCTGACCAAATTGCAACTCTATGCATCATCATCACAGAACAAAGCATGGAATGGCAATCAAACCTCTACCTCAACTTCCTTCATAGACTTTGAGAAGGCCTTCGACAGCGCAGCGTTGACCGCGAAGTAATTTGCAAACTACTCGAGTACTACGGCGTACCCCAAATATTCATCAACCTTATTCAGCAGCTGTACGACAACGGCACATGTCAAGTGATCCACAACGGAAAACTCAGCGAGGCGTTTGGAGTAAACACAGGAGTCAGACAAGGGTGCTTATTATCACCAATGATATTCCTAATTGTGGTGGACTGGATTATGCGTCAGACAGTGGGAAACGAGAAGACAGGGATATCCTGGACCGACGTGAAGAACCTAGAAGACCTGGATTTCGCGCGTGGATGATTTATGTTTGATGTCACACAAAATCGAAGACTTACAAGCGAAAACCGACAAACTGGTCGAAGAAGCAGCAAAGACAGGACTCCAGGTGAACATAGACAAGACGGAGGTTATGAAAATAACCAACCAACAACAACAACAGCAGCAGCAACATCCAGCGCCAATCACCATCAACGGGAGGGATTTGAAAGAGGTTACTTCATTCACTTATCTAGCTAGGGAGCATTGTCTCAACTACAGGAGGAACGGACGAGGATGTCAAATCGAGAATCGGGAAGGCGAGAAACACATTCATCAACCTGAAACCAATCTGGAAATCTTCGTCACTCAGCAACACTCAACAACAAAGTGATTCGGATTTTCAATACAAACGTCAAGTCAGTCAGTTCTTCTATACGGATCAGAAACTTGGCGGGTCACAAAGAATATTTCCAACAGCCTGTTGCAGACCTTTATCAACAACTGTCTTCGCTCCATACTGAAGATCAGATGGCCAGAAAGAATCACAAACAAGAAACTATGGGAACAAACAAAACAAGAACCAATCGCCCAACAAATATGCAGGAGAAAGTGGAGATGGATTGGACACTCGCTGAGGAGGCCGTTGGGTGACATCGCGCGTCAGGCCCTCGAGTGGAACCCGAAAAGGAAGCGGCGAGTGGGACGTCCAAGGGTGACATGGAGGAGATCGTGTGAAGAGGAGTTGAAACAGTATGGACTAACATGGATGCAGGTGAAAAGTACAGCAGAAGACAGAAGCAAGTGGAGACGTGTAGTTGAAGCCCTATGTTCCATTAGGAACCCAAGGGAACAATAATAATAATAACATAGGTGGAGACTAGGATTGTGTAATGACAAAACACAAGGTCCAACATGTTGTCACCACGTGTAGATTTCTGGACGTGTTGTTGCCATCCATAGCAATCGATGGTGGCAAGTAATTCGTCGAAGCGTTGGGGGCCGGAACTACTCAACCAGCTGACGTCTGCAAGATTGAAATCTCCTCCAATTATTTTGTAATTAGTACTAAACCAGGATGCGTGTGCAAACAATTTAGCTAATAACGCATCAGTTTCTTTGCTTGAGAATGGTGCTCGATAAACACAGCCTCTGAGAAATTTGTACTTATCTCCACGCAAGACGATCCAGAGTGAACCAGGTACCTAGTTCAGTATTTCATTTTCCACCTTACTGACTACGAATGAGTTAGGTATATATACATATATAAATATATATATATCACAATCTCGAAGACTCACAGGTAAAAACCACCGAGTTAGAAGAAAAGGACGTCAGCAGAGACTGGAACTCAAGTGAACATGGAGGTGATGAAGATTCCCGACAACCGACAACAACAAAAACGGCAATAACAAGCAGTCATCACTATCAACGCGGGAAATGTCAACGGGACTACTTCGTCATTTATGTAGTCGTCGCACCACCACCACCGTTCCTGTGGTGGTGTGTCGACGAATGGGAAACGACGAGCTGCGCTTACGTCTGATGGTCACATGGAGGAGATCGTGTGGAGAGGAGATGTGACACTATGGGGAATCGTGATTCCAGCTGATGACAACTGAATAGAAGAGGATGGAATGCAAATGTTCAATTGGAGCCCTCTATTTTCTACTTGGAATCCAAGGGAACAATAATAATATAAAAATAATTTATTCCTATGTAGCTTCTTCGCAAATTGTTTCCATTCACTTTTCCACCCTATTATTAGTAACGACTTAATGTGTGATGAACAAAGTTCACTTTAAGAAGTACACTGGTGTGAAACAGAAATCCACAGTCTCTCAGTAACCAACCATCCAAGGGAGCTTCTCTTCCACTCGTTCACTCTATCTATTATAAACCAAGTTTCCGCTTAAGTTTCAATCAAAAGCCATTACATCTGAAGTGATTTCAGCTAGTTTTACCAACAACCGGTAGTAGTAGCAGTAGTAGTGTGGCGTGTGCTACTGACAAGCCTTATCGGTGGTAGTACATTAAGAAACGTCCATCGGAACAAAATTATGAAATAGCCGAGAGACAGATTTGACATCAAAACGAGAGAGAGAGAGAAAATGAACCAGTACTGCACCAATGCATGGAAGACTCGAACACAAGACCGAAAACAACACGAAAGAGGCAGTAATAGCACAACACTGAACACCTGTACAGCAACACCTGACGATTTTCATATAACGTGGTGTATATAATTCCCCTATATGTGCATATATAATTCCTAATAAACACACCCTTACCAAGTCTCTTGCCTTCCACCGTCACATTTGGTTTCGCTTCCTGCTGCTTTCCAAGAAGCAAGTATAAGGAGCTTCTTGCGGCTCTTCGGTGCAGTCACCGTGTTCGTAGGCATCACCATCTGACAACGAAGGTCGTTGTGCTGAGGTCGGGTGGAGGCGGTTTCAGGCAGTGTCGAGTCGCCAGGTGATAAAGAAACCTGGAAGCTATTGGCTGAAAGACTGACTGTTGGCGGAGTTCGACGAACAGACAGCTGGCAATGCAGCACTTCCATGACGCCAAGCTGGCACTCAACTCAGACCCATTCGTCTTCACGGTGAATTTGGGCAATCTACTACTTCGCCCACTCCCCATATTGGCTAAAGACACTGTCTCAGTTATTCACTTACAAATTCACCGACGGTCTTCCAAACTAATAATGATAACATAGATAAGAAAGAATATTAGGAATCTGTAATTGTACCATGTTGGCAGGAGACATCTGACACCCTACGCAGCATTCCTAATAAAGCGGGGATTACGGCGGCATTTAAATCCACAGACTCACTCAGATACGTACGGCAACCTCTGTAGGTTGAAGGACCCTGTAAGTTGACCTAACCACACGAAATGATGTAATTTGCAAATCACCTTGCAATGACTGTGGAAACGGAAACTACATACATCGTCGCTAGAAACATGTAGAGACTTGCTAAGCACCAGACAAGCATTCTGAATCTATCCTGCTGAGATTTCCTAGGTGATCACTTCACGTCAGCTGATGCAAGTCTCCAAATTAAGTGAAATATTCAACATACTCAACTTAATTATTCCACCTCCTCCTAGCAAAACAATCACAACAAGTACTGCAGAAAATTGCGCATTTCATTTACCAGCATAACAATCAAAAATCAACACTTGAGTAGGAGAAAAAATGTATATTGAAAAATACCGAATGCATAAGATACAACAAAGATGTTTGTGTATTCGCAACCAGCATACACACACACACACAAATGTCAGCGCCTCCTTTTGCGTGAACTGCTAACACCTACAGCAGGAGTCACTGCTGCTGAATTAGTCGGTGTTTCAACCACAACATTATCTGATGAAGTTGTATGAATGTCAGACCAACGCACCGACTTTCTTGTTCGCTTTCGATTAGAAGTATCTAAATGGAAAAATCATAGATGAAAATAATTTGCATGCATCAACAGAGTATAGAAGGAAGATGATGCCTCAAATTACAATGGCTTTTCGTCTCATCGGTATATCTAGTAAAACAAATAGTAACAATCGATTGTGAAGTAAACCTAAGTTGTCAGACTGAAGTCTTCTGCTGCACCTTGCACATTATTGCAAGTGGACACATTTCGCCTAAATCTGCATCACAGGTTTGTTGTGACTTTAATGAGACGATATTTCATGCTGTGATATGACCACAAGATCCATCAAACTGTGATCCTCCTCAAAACATCCAACTACGGACATTACTGGGTCATACTTTCAGTTGCAATTCACACCTACTTTAGATTAAATAACCACACAAACACACACAAGCACACCAGGAATGCATCTCACGACCGCTTTTGTCGATCATAGTATCAATTACATACGAGAGAGACGACAGTGACTACCACTACTTTCCAAGCAAATGCAAAAACATCACAACATCATACTCATAAGAAGTGTCTCTCTCCAGTATTCATGCATGATCAGTCCCTTAACTGATTTCATAGAAAGATCTAAATGCTGTTGTGACTTGTGCGAAGTCTTGCAAATATTCCAATCAAAACTGTCTCCTAGTCTACGAAATTCACCCAAGAGAATGATAACTCACATTCTTGAAAATTCACATCTTCCTAAGTTATATATATATATCCTTATAAGAATAGTTGGCGTTTTGTCACATAAATACCAAAAATATGACTGGAGTGTTAGTTGTAATATTGGGCTGATAGCTTACCTACAACTGGAGATTTGGGTATAACTGTATCGCTCCGATGACCAACACGAGGAAACTTCAATTCTTTCAAGGAATCAAACTCCTCGGGTAGACTGAATTCCTTCGTTTTACCTTGAAACGGGTTTACTTCTGACTCATGCTTCACAGAAACGTTTCAATATTTTAAGAAATAGAAATTACCAGTTCTTCCATATTGAACAGGGTATCCAGCTTCTTCCAAATAGCTTCAGGAGTGATTGGTTTAGGAAGAACTGAATTCAGATAATTGCACAAGCACATCATCTCGAAATGGCGAGATACCCCAACGGGTTTGTGCTTCATTAATCCTCGGAAAAGTTGAATTTCCGATTCACAGGTCCATTCATATGAATCGGTCCTGTCAGCAGCCATATGTATTTAATTCTAGGGCACTGAAAATCCAATAATCAAAATTAAAGGTATTAGAAGTAGGCGGATCGCAAGAGGCTTATATAAGAAATACTACAGAAATATTTCTCTCTTGGTTGACCAGCTTATCAGGAAGCACACGAGTGAAACAATGAGACCAAAATCATTATACACAATACTACAATACTATCACTGGTCAAAAATATCTTACACAGCCAGAAGATTCCGCACTACAGATAAATTAGAGGGGGGATTTCTGATTCCGTGAAAGATGCTAAAAGACAATGGCTACATTCCGAAATCCACTAGTAGGTAGGGAAGATCCAGTTCACTGGTCTAAACACTCAGTCTGCAGTCACTGGGTCCCGGCTTTCAGTCCCAATCCACCCACTTCAGCCTAGATAACTGGGTATTACCATTAGCCTTTACACATTACGTGTACTTCACAGCCCAATACTGCATATTTCAGTGGTAACTAACAAGCGATAGCAGTTAGTTATATTAGGAGAACAGAAAGTAGGGCGCACCTTCAATTTTCTCAACGCGTAGCATTAACACTATTGTTGTGTTGCTCTATTTTGACCAAACTAGTGTACACGTATACCCCAGTACTTCTTCGCGTTTATAATTGTGTCCTAACAGTGTGATTACTCGACATCCAAAACGTAAATCAAAAGGCACTTGCGAAGGAATACGATCGTGTATTACCGCAGTAATCAAAATTCAAATATTGTGCGAGTACGACAGTATCAATTGTTAACACGCAATCTTTAGAGTGATAAACAAACCAAAGTCCAATTACAAAGTGAAAGTATACTACGGTGATGAGTAATAAAATGGGTCACTACACTATGTCTCAGCGGAACAGATGTTTTCAATACTACCATTGCCAGGCATCTCATCGATACAAGGTATGAGGTAGCTACCATGAAGTCCAATATCCAATATTGCTTTTACTAGCTAGTATAAACCAATTTGATTTCTTTGTGCTCGCCTCTTGATTGTGAGGTAGAGGTTCCTGATCTTCGGTAAACTTCTGCGTAGCTCGTCCCTCCACTCTACTGCCGTAGCTTTGGTTGACTCCGAATGAGTAGTGCAGGGATTAATTATATGTGGTTTGTAGTATGAGGTGTGTTAAGACTGTTACTACTGTGAATGGAATTGATCCTTTCACCAGTTGGTCCTTCGGTATCGTCGTCAATAGAAAAGAGATAATAATAATAGATATAATTAGTGAAGGTATTCAGACTAACAGACAGAAAACGAATAAGAAAACGTAACAACAATCAGTCAACCAGTATATATATATATACATATCTACCAGTAATAATGATAATAATAACAGGTGTAGTTAAAGCTGTCAGGAGAGTAAGACTGAAGAGAATGTAAAGAAGTAAAACGACCAGTTTAATTGTCTACCTTTGAATTGTGTATGCGATTTTAAGGGGATAGGCCATTTGGATGAAGTCCTTGTGTCGCTGCATGGTTGTCCAGCCTTCGCTTTAAGGCGTCCACAGACGGTGCCATAGCTAGATCTGTCGGTAAGGAATTCCAGGGACGGCAAACCCGCAGGGAAAAGAAGTGGGAGCGACACTCCTGATGACGAGCTGTACCAAGATGATCGGACTCGACTGACCTTGGTGCAAAATTGCCTTTCAGTTAGGTAGTCCTTCAAACCATGACAGAAGTGGTTTACCTAAACCTACCTGGCTTATTTTGTGTAGGAGAAGGTCATGGTGAACAGTGTCAAATGCCTTCTCAAAGTCTAGAAAGATCACATGGACTGGAACATTCATAACCCAGCATGATGTCCAGTAGTCCCAGGCTGATAGTTAGCTAGTAACGCAGGATCTCCCTTTCCTGAAACCGTGTTGGGCTTCATGGAGTATTTTAGACCTATCCAGATATTCCCTGATGTGATCATCAATAATACTTTCCAGTACTTTCGATACCACTGGGAGTAGAGGTACTGGTCTATAACTGGTGGGATTTTGCCTATCCCCACGCTTGAAGATCGGAGAAAGGATGCTTCTTTTCTATTGTGAAGTCAGTACTACTATACGGATCAGAGACTTGGCGTGTCACAAAGAGCACCTCAAACAAGCTACAGACCTTCATCAACAGCTAGTTGTCTTCGCCCCATTCTCAAGATCAGATGGCCGGAAAGGATCAGCAGCAAAGATCTCTGGGAGCGAACCAACCAGGAACCGATTGTGAAACAAATAGGCAGGAAGAAATGGAGATGGATTGGCCACACTCTGAGGAAACCAGCAAGTGACATCACTAGACAAGCCATTGGTCGAGTGTAACCCGGAAGGGAAGCGACGAGTTGGTCGTCCAATGGAGACCTGGAGGAGATCATGTGAAGAAGAATTGAAAGCGTATGGGCAGACTTGGAGCCAGGTGAAAACTCTAGCAGAGAACCGAACGCAATGGAGATACATGGCTGAAGCCCTATGTTTCTCTAGGAACTAAAGGAAATAATAATAATGAAAGTTTGCAAATGTCATGGATGAAATCAAACAAGAAAATGCTGCCTTCGGAAACCTGTCAGAAATATGTGACCTTCAACTAGTACCACAAATAAACTTAAAGCATCTTATTCTCAAGTCTTATTGTCTGTTTGCCGTCAAAAATAATCAAATTTGGACCAGTTTCTAAAACCAATATATGCCTCTGTAGTACTGCAGACATTATGGTCACTTTTGGCTAACCACTCGTATATCCGGAAAAGTGTTGGCACGTTAAACTGAATTAGCAGAATTGTTTTTCTTTTTACCATGCAATTGCCGACGATATATCTGAAAATGAAGAGTTTTAGGGCAATTCCGGATATCTGAATGCAAAATTTGTGCCGAAACGCATGACTTTTCCCTGAAAGCCGGAGGCGAGTCCGAAAATTATTTTATCTGGGATAATACGATGGCCAGAGATGGCTGACTAATACAAGTTCTAACCTACATAAATCACTCCACATCTCACTGAAACCTGACCTTTGAAGATTTTGTATATTCCCAGTTTATTTTCTTAAACGTTTTGTCTTACACTTCGGATTTTGAGCAGAGTCTATAGCTGTAACGCAAAGACCAACATCCACACCAGGGGGAAAACAGAATGAGAGCTCCTCAGGGATGTGCGACAGCGTGGTAGACACATTGTCGAGGTGAGGACAATAGATATAGGTAGATTTTGATTGGCAGTTGGCAAGCTGGCTTCCTATTGGTCTAAAATATAAGTAAAATCGACAATCTCTTTATTTTGACACGGAAATTTACGGTCAGTTTAATTTAAGGCTTACCGTACCATAATATAATGGCGTTTTAATTTTTCTGGTGTGAGTGTAGTGTGATAGTCACAGGCTATTCGGATGCATTGGTGGAATTTAAAGTACATTGGGATGTTTAGGGATTGATGGTATCGAACGTTCGCGAGTTGTACGGATTATACTAACGCAAGATCTTATACCAACAACCACTATAGTGTTCGTTCTTCGAGTACCAAATGGTAAAGCAAAAGACCAGATTTTGTCGTCCAAAGTACGTATTATATTTCGGGACAAAATCGCGGGTAGAGGTGAATGCTTAGCTAGCTAGTAATCGTGCACGCACGTGACACGACGAAGCACCAAATGGCGGGGATGCTTGACCGTAAGCCTTCAGCTAAACAAGTCGACTTAAACAGTGATGGTCAGCATCCAATGTTGAGTGATGATTGCTGTGGTTAATAATTTTGGGGAATTATTTACCGCTACAGCTCACTCCCCCCCTAGTGGGTTTGTGAGGACCCTAAGACATGACCAGCCGGAAGTAAAAAAATCTCGATGGTTCCCTGATGGGTGAAAAAAATCTTCCGAGCGGCCTAATGGAGAGCCTGCTGGTCTGTCTGCCTATGCTAATAGGGTGTCTGTACATAGCTTCCTCAATGTTGTTCGTTGGATCCCGTGCTTCGTTTGTTTCCTGTCCAGTGCCCGTTGCACCTGGAAAAGAAAACAAGAATGCTGAGAACCTTGTCAAGAAAAATGTACCAAATTTTTTTTTAAAAAAATTGACATGCATCTACCATACAGTAAAATAATGTAAAGTTCAAAATATCGGGGAAAAAAATATACATCTTATATAATTTTATGTACGGTTATAGGAAAAATATCATTTACTTGTGTTAAATGACGCAACATAAAAAAAATTGATGTGTCACTCAGTTATGTGAGATAGGTGTGAAGGTATTCTGGGAATCTAACGTGACGTCCAGAACGCGTTTTTTTAGAGTGATCGACCGAAGGTTCAGTGGCTTTCGCCGTGCTAGGGAGTTCTTCGAAGACTGAAGTAGATTCAATTACTTGTGAATTATCGGGTACGTTTAGCTCCAGGTTAATGGGATTACCTTCCAAGTAAGCTGGTTTCAGACGGTCGATACTGACGGTGTCTTCGCGGCCTTTTTTGTCTAAAACGAAGAATTTATCAATACGTTTAATCACTTTAAATGGTCCGTCATATGGGGGTTCTAGAGGACGACGTACCGAGTCGCGACGAACAAATACATGTGAAGAAGTTTTTAAACAAGGGTGAACGAAAACATCAATGGACTGTGGTCGGAGGGGAGCAGGTTTAACTGAACGCATAGCGTTTGTAAGCCTGCTGACGTATGAGGAGTGATCTACCACTGGTGGGAAGCAGGAGGGAGAAACAAACTCACCTGGCAGTCGTAGTGTTGTGCCATATACTAGCTCAGAGGTAGTACAACCAGCATCGGTTT